CTGAGAGCCCGGAGGTCAGTGGACAGACATCTCAAGCTAGGCTCCTCCAGGCTCTTGCCCAACTTTCCTCCTTGCCAAGGGGAAAGTTGACTGGTCTCCAGGAAGGAAAACGAGACCACCACCCCCACCCGCAAAAGTAGGCACAAATCCAAGTTTTCCTTTGGAAGAACCAAGAATTTGGGAGGTTGGGAGCAGAACCCACCAGGCCGCGATCTCCCAAAGCAAGAAGAATCTCCCAAAGGCGAAAAGTTAAAAGATCTTTACTTTCATCCCGGCACTGGCCAATGCAGTCTCATACTAGGCCGCCACAGGGGAGTTTAACTCCGCAAACAAGTTCTGCCCAGGATCGGCGCAGGAGGCCCCATCCCCCACACCACGGCCGAGCCTGCGGGCGCATCCCGCCGAGCCCGGCGCCCACAGGTCCGGGCACAGCTGGTCTGACACTTACGGTGCGCGCTCCACCAGGAGACAGGGGTCCATTAGAGAGGTATGGGCTGCTCAGGTCAGGAATCATCAGGAAGGGGTACCCAGGGTACGCAGGTCCCTTAAAGAAAGCGCCGTCCTGGGGCCTTCTCACTGCGGACAAAAATCAAATTGGAGTGAGGTCAGGGGTCCCCCAGACAGCACAGGGACCTGGAACTCCAGGCGGGAATCTGGAACCCGAGTTCCCCTCGAGTGAGCCCCAGAGTGGCTGCTGCAGAGATGGGAGGAGAACAGGGGCTCTGCCACCCGAGTCATGGGGACCCGTAGAGCCGATCGCTGCCGGCCAGAGAGTGAAGACTGCAGGAGAAGGCACGTACCTTCGGCAAAATAGTCGCGCGGCTTCTGGAAAGCGTCCCGGGCAGGCTGCGGGCGCCTCTCCGCCTGTGGAGGAGACACAAAGGCGAGGGCCTCGGGTGAGCGGGAGCGGGACCCGGGTCCCCCGAGGGGCTGACCCTAAGAATCCCTTTACCTCCGAGTCCGAGCTGCTGCTCTGATTCTCCGACTCGTTGACCAGGGACGACTTGACCTCATCCAGGTCCCGTTGCGCCGAAGCGCTGTCGCTGCTCGGCTCTTGCTCTTCGCCCCCCTCGTCCTGGAAGGGGATCAGCTCGTCGTTCGCTCCGAGATCGTCCCCTCCGCTGGTTGCCCCGGCTCCGGAGCCACCGCCTCCCCCGCCGGCGCCGCCACCGCGGCCACC